AAACTCTTTACTACTCGAACACTCCACCAGTACTCTTCGATTTGGTTTCATCGTGGAACATCGGCCTATCGCTTCTCTGAATCTTGCCTTTTTCATTGTCACAAATCCAGTTTCAGTGCTTTTTTCGTGAACATTTTCCTTGTCATCTGATTCTTGGTCTGTTGACTCCAAGTTTACTTCTAGACAAGCCTTTTGACCTGCTTTGCTCGGAGACTTTCGTCTGATGGAGTTCATGGAAATGGTTTCTTGGATATGTTTTGGTCTCAGCTCATGTAAAGAAGCTTCGTTCTTCGAGGGTGATTGCGGTTTTGGGTTGCACCGTGAAATTATGGGGCTAAAGCTTGGTTTTTCTTTTGGTTCAAAGAATAAAGGTTCCTGCTTGAAGCTTGATTGTTGTTTCAATTCTTTGGTCAAGGCATCGATCAATCCAACTGATGACATATTTTTCATGCCTTGGTCTGGATATACATTGTCTGAGCAGATCTCCTTGGCCTAACATGTAGATATGAGAAAGAGACAATGAGAGAACTATCCACACAGTTTTCTTTCTTTAAACTACAGAGTGCAGTAATGATTTGCTCTTGTCGAGTAAGGCTCAAGAACATAACATACCGTGTTTGCAACTATGTTTTCCTTGCAGTCATTTGATATTAACCTCTCAGGAGCTATACTCTCTTGCTTGCTCTCAGTTTTTCGAAAAATACCGGAACTATTTTCTTCCTCTGTGTCACTCTCGTCAATGATTAAGGGATCTTTCTCAGGCGAAGGAAATCCAAATTCGTGCATGTCCGAAAGCTGAGGAGATTGATACTCATAGCTTGAAAACCAGTTTCTAACATCAGGAGGCTCTGATAGGACAAGAAACAAAAGATGTAAGATACTATTTATACACTTTAAGAACACAATCACAGTAATTTTTATCTACAAACAACTGGTTTACTAACCCGAAAGAACGGACTGCGACTCAGAGAAATCTGTAACCTGCAAAGAGACTAATTTGTGAGCCGGATATAGAAATGTAAGCGTAAAGAGCTAAGAAAAACATAGATTCATAAGAAACTCTACTCATGTAACTATGGCTTAGAAAGTAAATCAAGAGTTCAATAGCAAATACCTTTGCAGAAGAAACAAGTTCTTGCTCAAATAACCGAGGACAAACATTGTTTCTCTCAATTTTTGTTGTCACTTTTTCTGTTTCCATCTCCGTCTCCTTTACATATTCACTTTCTCCAAGAGCACACAATTCAAGATCATCACTTGCAAGTACAGACTGCGACTGAGAGAAATCTTTAACCTGCAAAAGAGACTAATTCGTCAGCTCGATAGAGATCTAAGGATCTGATTAAAAACACGCAAATAACGAGATACAGTAAGCATAAGATCTAAAGAGACATAGATTCATAAGAAAATCAACTCATGTAACTATGGCATTGGAAGTAAAAATCAGGAGCTCAGATAGCAGTACCTTTGAAGAAGAAGTAAAAATCAGGAGCTCAGATAGCAGTACCTTTGAAGAAGAAACCAATTCTTGCTCAAATAACCTTGGACAAACATTGTCTCTTTCAATTTTCGCCGTCTCTTTTTCTGTTTCCGTGTCCATTACATATTCACTTTCTCCAGGAACAGACAATTCAAGACCATCACTTGTATCAAGTATCGGCGATTCATAGACATAGCTCGAAAACCAATTACCAAGATCAGGAGGTTCTGAGAAGCAAATGGAGTTAACAACATAATCAAAATCTATCAACAGTTAAGAAGCTTATACTTATGTTCCTCATAAAGTTCACAACAATCAATAAGTTTAACAAGAAGGTAACCAAAATGAGGGTTTACCAGAAAGGAGTGATTCATTTGAAATCTGCCCAAGAAAAGTAAAATGAATTAAAATAGGGCAAACAAAATCACAAACCCATATAACAAATCAAAAACCTGTAATGTTGTTGAGATATTACTTTGTACCTGTCTCATCTTCTTGTTCGAGACAAGGGATCTGCTGTCCGAAACAGCAACACCGAGATTTACTTTATTTTGCTCTCTGACAGTAAACCCATCGATTTCGTTGGGTAACGAACTCAATGGGAACGATTCATAGACATAACTTGAAAACCAATTCGTAATATCTGGTGGCTCTGTTCGGAAATACC